CCCTTTGACTGTATCTATCCTCTCCTCCCTTTCTCTCAATCATGTGCAACTATGATAAACACAACCTTCCTTCAAAGAGTTACATAATGCAACTCTGAGCCTTAACCTAAAGCAGAGAGGTGGAAACTATTAGTTTCTTAACACTTGACTTCTGGCTCTGTCTCCCCATCTGCAGAATAAAAATAGGAGTAATAGGGGCCGGCCCGTGGCTCACTTGGGAGAGTGCGGTGCTGATAGCACCAAGGCCACGGGTTCGGATCCTATATCGGGATGGCCGGTTCGCTCACTGGCTGAGCGTGGTGCTGACAACACCAAGCCAAGGGCTGAGACCCCCTTACCGGTCATCTTTAAAAAAAAAAAAAAAGAATAATAATAGGAGTAATAATAATAATGTTAATATTTATGGAATATTTTAAAGTACTAGGCATTATTGTAAGCACTTTACATGTATTAACTCATTTAATGGGAATAACAAAATCTGCTGACAAGGTTATTCAGAGGACCAGGTCAAATAAAGAAGGTGAATGTGCTTTGTAAACTATCTCTGCAAGGCCGGCCTGTGGCTCACTCGGTAGAGTGCGGTGCTGATAACACCAAAGCCACGGGTTCGGATCCTATATAAGGATGGCCGGTTTGCTCACTGGCTGAGCGTGGTGCTGACAACACCAAGCCAAGGGTTGAGATCCCCTTACCGGTCATCTTTCAAAAAAAAAAATAAACTATCTCTGCAAAATGTCAGGGAAGACAGTGTTTTCTCTGATCAAGAAAAACTGTATTGGTATCAAGTGTTAACCCCCAACACCCTACCTGCCAACCAGATTAAGTTTCCCCATCATGTCCCAACCCAGCACCCTGGACTTCTCCTTTGTTCTCCTTTGGGGCCCTCACTACCATTTTAAGGAAATAATTATTTCTGTGGTTATAGTTTAATATTCATCTCCATGATTAGAGAGGAAGCTCCATGAGAGCAGGGACCCAATTTACCCTCTTCAGCAAGGCTATCTTCAGACACTAGCATGGAGTAAGTTTTCAGTAAACAATAGCTAAAATCAATGAAATCAATGAAAATAGAATCCATTAAACTGACCACATAATGGAATAAGTGGTGTGGAATAATCTCCAAGATACTTTGATAAGTGAGAAAATCCAAGTATAGGGCTGGCCCGTGGCTCACTTGGGAGAGTGTGGTGCTGATAACACCACGGCCACGGGTTCGGATCCCATATAGGGATGGCCGGTTAGCTCACTGGGTGAGTGTGGTGCTGACAACACGAAGTCAAGGGCTAAGATCCCCTTACTGGTCATCTTTTTTTTTTTTCTTAGATGACCGGTAAGGGGATCTCAACCCTTGGCCTGGTGTTGTCAGCACCATGCTCAGCCAGTGAGCAAACCGGCCATCCCTATATAGGATCCGAACCCGTGGCCTTGGTGTTATCAGCACCGCACTCTACCGAGTGAGCCACGGGCCGGCTTCCCTTACTGGTCATCTTTAAAAAAAAAAAAAAAAAAAGAAAATCCAAGTACAGAAGGATGTATATAAATAGTATGCTGCCACTCGTGTTAAAAAAGAAAAAAGATGCATATGCACATACAATATATGCATGTTCAGGCTCAATGTCACTCAGGGAGGCAACAGTAGTTGCCTCTAGATAACACTGTGGAAGTGACAGACTTTTATTTTATTTTTTAAATTTTTTTTAAAGGTGACTGGTAACGGGATCTTAACCCTTGACTTGGTGTTGTCAGCACCACGCTCTCCAAAGTGAGCAAACCGGCCATCCCTATATGGGATCCGAACCCATGGCCTTGGTGTTATCAGCACCACACTCTCCCGAGTGAGCCACTGGCCAGCCTGAAGTGACAGACTTTTAGACCCTCTGTACTGTTGGAAAATATTTTTCATTAAAAGACTATATTAACTCAAAAACAAATTCACTTTTTAAATTGCTCACCTTCAAAAACAAAAATGAACAAAACAAATTCCAACCCTCCAATCTATATATCTTGGTTCCTCGAATTTTCTTTTCTGCTGTTCCAGCATAATTCATTCCTTCTAGCTAATCAGGTCTCTTCACTGCTTTCTTTTTTGTGTGTGCAAACATAAATCACTGCTTTCTAATAGAAGCACATCATGTTAACATCTGTACTAACTCATACCCTTTCTCCCTCTAGGATGATAATCCTCCTATGGTCAAGGCAGAATGGTCCCTCAAAGATGTCCTCTTCCTAACCATATAACCTGTGAATATGTTAGGTTACATGGCAAAGAGGAATTCAAGTTGCAGATGGAACTAAGGTTGCTATCAACTAACTCGAAAATAGGAAAACTATCCTGGATTATCTGGGTGGGCCCAATATAAGGATCATAAGGATCCTTAAAAGTAAAGAGGGAGGTAGAAAAGGGGAGCCAGAAAAGGATATGTAACAGACAGAAGCAAGGTCAGAGTGCTGTAATGTGAGGACTCAACCTGCCATGCTGGCTTTGAAGATGGAGGAAGGGGTCATGAGCCAAGGAATATGGGCAGCCTCTAGGAACTGGAACTGGCAAGAACACAGGTTCTCCCCTAGGGACTCTAGAAAAAAAATGCAATCCAGAAGACACCTTGATTTTAGCCCAGTGAAACCTGTATCTGACTTCTCGCCTAGAGAATTATAAGATAATAAACTCATGTTGTTTTAAGCCACTAAACTTGTGGTAATTTGTTAGAGCAGCAAATAAAAAATGAATACACTTCCTGATACCTCCCCATCTTTTGGGGCCTAGCTCAGCCTCCTTTTCTCTTACTTCTGCAGCCCACAGTGATTTTTCTCCCTTCAGAGTTCCTGCAGCACTTATTTCCCTGAATTACGTTTAGCATTTGGTAAGTCATTCATTCAACAATTGTTTAATGCCTGCTATGGGCCAAGCCCTGTGCTAGATTCTGGGGATGGTCTCCCTGAAAAGGCAATAGTGAATTTTTTGTATTCCTCTCACTGCTTAGCAAGGTGCTACCCACATAGCATAAAGTCCAAACACCTCACAGTGGTACCCTAAGATCATTTAGATAGACTGCACCTGACATCATCTCCTGCCAAGCATGGCATCCTACAGTTTCTCTAACATACCACCTTCTTTCACGTATCTGTGTCTTTGTTCCCACAGGTCCTTCTGCACAGTTCCTTCTCGTCAAATTCCTCCATGCTACTCAGTAATTCACCATTAATCTACTATTACTCTAGCCCTCTGTGTTTATTCACAGCCCAGAGAAACCATTAATTCCAGTGTGAAGACTTTCCCCATCTCTCAGGCATTTGTCACTTCATTCTCTACAAATCTCTTAAAGCGATTATCACATAGTTAGCTTACCTGAATACAAGTCTATCCCACCTTAAGCTCTTTGGGGGTAGTTTGGATACTTATTCATCTTTATGTCATCTGTACCCAGCATAGCACTGGACTTCAAAGTAGTGGGAAGGATATAGCCTGGTTCCCTAGTTGGGGAGCTTTGGCCAAACATCTCAATCCAGGTCTCAAATACAGATATATTTTGACTCTCAGAGTTGGCCCACGTGGTGTGTGTTAAGATTTGAACTGATTTTCAATTTTTAAAAAAGTGAACAAATTCACATAAAGTCTGGATTTCTGACAACTCTTGCCCCAAATCCTGGCAACACTAGATCTTCATTTTCACATGGCAGACATCACCTGGAGCTGATTAAATGGGGCCTGCTCTCTACTTTACCCAGTTCACACTTCTGTTGTCCCTAGCACAAAGACCCAAAGACCTGGTGTAGGCTGTTATTTCATCATTCTTAAAGTAACACTGGTCTGTTTCACCTGATCCCTGAAGGCATTTGAGTCTTCAACCCCTCTTTTAGACTCTAAGCCTGTTTTCTCATCTGTCAAATGGGAAAAATAACATTTATCTATAATTCTAAAAACAGCCCTGCAGGATAAAGTATGCATAGAGTAGGGAACGCTGCCTGGGACACGTACAGTGTTTGAAAAACGGTTGTTAATATCAAGAGCTCAAGAACCATTTACAAAACGAAAGAATGAAAGGACTAACCAACAAATGACCATGTATGTTATTGCTTTGTAAAGAGAAAACTGAAGAAGGAAATTATCGCCAAGGCGTTTTTATCCATTTGTGAAGGCCACACTTTGTGCCTTGGGATACTGCAGGTGCTCAAAAAAATGGGAGGAACTGCAATTATTACGAATTTCAGAAAAGCTTGTAAATGAAGGAGAGAGTGAACGTGAACTGGGAGGTCAAAAAAGGATGCCTGTGGAGGTTTCCCTCTCTTTTCACAAGGCACAGAGCAGGTGCTCAGTGAGTGCCTGATGGAGAGCGGGGCCCAACTGCATTCCTTCCTCCTCTGGGCCACCCTCAGGGAGTGTCCAGCCTCCTCGGCCACCTCCGCACCCTCCTGTCCCGCCCCGCCCCGCCCCGCCCTTACAGGATGTCTTCACGGATGGAGGTGCCATGATTGAGGTTGTGGAAGCGGACGGAGACGCAGTCCCTGAGAATGAAGGAGCACCTGTTCTCCTTTTTGTAAGCGTTGAAGCACTCCTTGAAGTCCTCGTAGGTCTTGAAACAGCTGCCCAGCTCCATGGCTGCCCTCACAGCTCACACCAGGGGCTGGCCCCAGATCACACCAGGGGTCAGAGGTCACACTGTGAGGGTTTTCCGGCTGGCATGGGCCCAGAACGCCTTAAGGGTCCGCCCGAATTGGGTGGCCTATTATGGAGCTTAGGAAGAGCCCCCAGACCGACAGGACTATAAGAGAGTGGGGGGCGTCTTTGCTATCTGACAGGGGAAATGACACTCGGTCCTTATTATCCAGTCCCGAGGCTCCGCCCCCTCACTGGCATATCCAATCACAAACCAGATTCACAAACTGGCACTTATTTTCTCCAATAGCTAGAGAAAGATGGATGCATCTACTTGGAGACTGATAGGAGCACCGGCCAATCATAACGTGCATCCCGCCTCCTCAGGGGTCCCCAGTGGACTTCCGGTTGCTAAGCCAATCGGCAGGAAGCGCCGGGAGCTGTATGGGTCTCCGCGTGTCCCACAGGGCGCAGTGTCTCTGTCCGGCAGCGAGTGAGCGAGATGTCGTCCCCGCAGGCCCCGAAGGATGGGCAGGGCGGCGGCGGCGGCGATCCTCCCGGAGACCTCCGTAGCGTCCTGGTCACCAGCGTGCTTAACCTCGAGCCGCTGGACGAGGATCTCTTCAGGTAGCCGGCCACACCTGGCTCGCACCCTATCTTTAGGACAGACTCCAGATAGCGACTGCCGCCGCCCCGTGGTCCCCAGCTCCGGGATTAGGATGTGTTTTGCGTGGGATGCAAGCTCTGCCGCGATTAGGAGAGAGTTTGTCCCTGACAGAGCTGTCCTCGCTGTCCCGGCTTCCTCCGTCCCTCTCCGCGACAGGTCTGCGCAGCCCCACCTCTAAGAGGTCCTGGCGATTTGGGCAGATAAAGTAGTGTCCTGAGATACCCTACTCGGCTTAGCATCGGCCGGGGAAGCGGGCCAGAGATGGCGGTGATTTGCCCAAGGGCACACGGATGATCAGGTTTAAAACTTACAAGCAGATCTTTGCATATTAATTATATATTTTTCCTCTTACATCATCCCCAGCACTATTTGGTGGGGTCTGGTAGCTCATTACTCATCCTGAGGACTGAGCCTGTTTCCTTCCCAGCATCACTTAAGTTCTTGACTGCAGCAGGGGTCTGTAAGAGCTTTACCTCTAAGGTTCCTGGCGGCTTTATTGGGAGCTATCCTACTTTGACCTCCCTTTCTTCCATTTAAGGAATTCTAAGTAACTTTCTGAAAGGCTATTTACAATGCATTGTTATGGAAAATGCTAAACTCTGGCTGGATGGTGGGAGGCTGGAGACAAAAATCGCTCAGCCTGGGCCGGCCTGTGGCTCACTCGGGAGAGTGTGGTGCTGATAACACCAAGGCCATGGGTTCGGATCTCTATGTAGGGATGACAGGTTAGCTCACTGGCTGAGCGTGGTGCTGACAATACCAAGTCAAGGGTTAAGATCCCCTTACCAGTCATCTTTAAAAAAAAAAAAAAAATCCTTCAGCCTTCAGAGGGCTCAAGCATTGGGCAAATCTTTTCATCTCTGGGGCCAAGCCATAGTTTCCTCATCTGTACACTGAACAATTTTGATATCTGAGGGTCCTTCTAGTTCGGAATCTAGTTCTTGGAAGAATTGGTCTGTTGTGGTTGAGGGGTGTAAGCAGCAGACCTTAATGCAGTCCACCCCCAGCTCAGCTCTTGAGGTTCACCTTGGTCCATTTAAGGCCTTGAGAGGCTTCTGCCTTACTCTGGTATGGGGAATGGAAGAAACACTAGACTCGAGGTAAAAATACCCCAAATACCCAGATACTGCACAGGATTGGTAATGTTTAAGCTGTGTGACCTTGCCCAAGTCACTTTCCATCTCTGATCCCTGTTCTGTTATAGTGTAAAATAAAAGGGTTGATTTGTTATCCTTAGCTAAAGTCCACAGAAAGGTTTGGGTGGTCATGAAGGCCGTGAAGTTTTGTGATTTTCGCTAGATTCTCAAAAGGATCCCAAACCCCAATAAGATTAAGAGATCCTGCACTAGATACTCATTGAAGGCGGTAGAATTTGGTCCAGCTTCCAAGTCTTTCCCACTTTCCCCCTCTCCCTACAGAGGAAGACATTACTGGGTACCTACCAGCCAGCGGTTGTTTGGGGGTCAGATCGTGGGCCAGGCCCTGGTGGCTGCTGCCAAGTCTGTGAGTGAAGATGTCCACGTGCACTCCCTGCACTGCTACTTTGTTCGGGCAGGTAAAGCCCCCTCCTCCCTGTCCCTAACCCAACCCTGCTGACCCAGTAGCCGCTTTTTTCTGGCCTTGGAAGCTGACTGAGGAGAAAGGCAAGAGAGGGAGAAAGGGGGAGAAATGTGGGAGGGAGGGAAAGAAGGGTGGAGGGAGAGAGGGGGTAGGAGACGACCCTCTTACCTAAGTGATGCCTAGGGAGGAACAAGTTCTGGGGCCAACAAAGAGCCTTGGCACCAAACAAACATTAAAAGGACTGGCCAGTTAGCTCGGTTGGTTAGAGCCTGGTGCTGACAACACCAAGGTACAGAATTCGATCCCTGTACTGGCCAGTCACCAAAAAAAAAAAAAAAGTGCCTTGGACCTCACACCTGCTGAGACTCACTGAGTCCTTGTTATCTGGCCCATAGTTGACAGGCTTTGTTGCTTAACTGCTCCCTGTGGGCCTTTTGTTCTTCATTCTTTGTACGCCACTTGGTGTGGAGCACTGTTTTAGATCCTCAGAGTGGAGCTCTAACCTCCGTTAGGGGTTTGGAGGTGGGAAGCTTGGGTTGGAGAAGAGAGAACCAGTCTGAGAATCAGGAGATCTAGGGCCTGGTTTAACGTTTGCTGATAATTTGTCATGAGAACTTTTTTTTTTTTTATAAGATAACCGGTAAGGGAATCTTAACCCTTGACTTGGTGGTGTTATCACCACGCTCTCCCAAGTGAGCTAACTAGCCATCCCTATACAGGGATCTGAACCCATGACTTTGGTGTTATCAGCACTATACTCTCCCAAGTGAGCCACCAGCAGGTCCTGCCATGAGACCTTGAGTGAGGTTACCTCCTTACCTTCAGACTAGGTTCACCCCATCTATAAAACGGAGGAGAGGCAGGACCTGGGGTATTTTAGTGGGATGGTATCTACAACTGCTTACAGCTCTGGGGTCAAATAAAGGAGCAAGAGTAATCATTTAAAACTCATGCCTGGGCTGGCTGGTTGCCTCCGTTGGTTAAAGCTGGTGTTGATAAGACCAAGGGTCAACGGCTCAGATCCCCTTACCCACAGCCGCCAAAAAAATCCCACAAATCCATGCTCTCTTTAGAAAAAAAACTCTCTTGCTTTCCCTTCTTCCCCCTCACTCGTAGGACAGACACCCCTGATTTTGAGTGTCACTGTCTTCTGCATAGACCTACCAGCTGAGAAGTTGTGGAACTTTACAATATCTGCTTTGTATTAAGAAAACAACAGTGGGGTTCCTCCTTCATTTTACAAGTGTAAAAGTTGTAATATTAAATACACTTTTTCATACTATCCCATGTCCCTCACTCCCCATCCGTTTATTGCTTGTCCCTCCCTCACAATCATTGCTATAACGTATTTGAATATTTACCATGGGCCCAGCCTGGTTCTTACCTTTATGCTAGGTGGAAGTAAATGTGAGCTTTATTTCTTCAATTTGGTTATAAGCTCCAAAAGTAGTAGCCTTTTGATATTGTAATCCTTCTATCTAGAGAGATACTTGGCTGTTTTGTTTTGTGGGGTTGGGGCGTTGCTTGATCCCTCTGAATCTGTTTCCTCATCCTGTGATGAAAGAATTCAATGAGTCTTTGCAGGTTATCTAGTGCAGGCCTGGCATGTTGCTGGCTTTCCATAAATGATAACATTATTTTCTGATGATGAATTTATGGGAATAATAAGAATTTGCATGATACAGAGCACAGCCATGTATGTTATCTTGTTTTGTCCCCATAAGTAAACAAGAGTGGTGGGCATTCCAGCCTCCATTCTTACCTATAAGGAAAGCGGGACCTGAAGAGGTTTTGTAACCAGCGCCCACAGTGCTCAGGGAGGCAGAGCTAGGATTTGAACCAAGGTTTGTGTATCTCCAAGTGCCAAACTCTTTCCTGTTTCCCTGTATCTCTCTTTCACTTTTGGAAGATAATTCCAAACCATGGGAGAGCTGCCAGGGTGGCCTTCCCAGGTTTTGGGGGAAAGATCCTCTTCCTTGGAAATTCTCCACCCAGGGGCAGCATGAAATGAGCTATTCTCAAGCTACCATTTCAAAATCAATCATCAATTATTTGTGCCCCTACCTGCTTCTCGAAAGTCTAAAAGATAGCTTAAGATAATTGGCAGCTGTTACAGGACTGTTAAATAAAAGTCCAAGGACAGCAGGCTAGTGGTAATGGGATTTGGGGAAAATGATTGTGTCACAAAAGTAGGCAAAGGCATATTGTTGTGGTTTTACACAAAATTTAGTCCTGAGATTCCTTTTTAGGGAAGCTCTCTTAGTTTGTGTTGTGACCCTCTACTGGATACATCAAATATTATAATAAATGATGATGTTTTAGTGATATATATATATATATATATATATATATATATATTTTTTTTTTTTTTTTTTTTTT